TTAAGTTTGAAGATTTTAAGGTTTAAATTTTCTAAGTAGAAAATGAAACATTTAGTGGAGTTTTTTTCCAAATTCCTATTTTTAAATTTCTCCGTTACTTTAGTTTATCGATCAAACGATTTATGCTTCAAAAAATCTTAGGCACCAATTGAAAAAAGTCTTTGTGAACCGAAATGTTTCAAAAACCAATCCTAATTCATACGACATTTTCCTATCCCAATTCTACCCATTTTTTCAAAGTATAATAATACCTGCACTCCCGACCATCGCTACTTATTCTGGTCGTATCACTTTGCATAACTTGTGATACAGGTGGATGTGTCACCGACAATTCTTGCAGATAGTTTGTAGTCGAGGATATGAATCTATAAGTACGGAAGAGTGATGCTTCAGGTTCTGCTGTAATCTCTTCAGTACCATCATTATGCCAAATGACACTGGAATCTTCTGCCATTTTCCTAATAACAGACTGTTGGAAATCAATTTCTGCCACTGTCACTTCGTTTAATTGGCCGACATTTTGTACAATTGCATGTTCTGGTTCGGCTGTATTCGAAGATGGGACGTATTTGACGAGAAAAGTTGCTGCTGTTGGCACTTCTTCTAGTACCTCAATAGGTATACTGCGAACTTTTCGACTAGCTTGTCGCCATTTGTCCTGACATTTCTCGAAATTCTGAGAGCAATTCAAATACTCGAATATGGTGTTTAGCTAAAACAGAAAAGGTGGAAGATTGGATAGTTTATTTCATGAAATGGAATGAAAATGAGAGAAAGATCATTCCTGACAATACGAATTCATCATTGCCGGCAAAGAGCGGAAAATTAATTGGCAAATTCATGTCTCAGATGAAACTGATACATGAATTTCGCGGAAATTTTGATTATTGACAATCGAAAAATTATAAAATTTGTTTTCATACCTCCAAAGCGCTGCTAGTTTTGTTTCCTACTTCATCGACATTTCCGCCATAATTTTTATTCATACTAGTATAACCATAAAAATTAAACGCAGTTTCCTGAAAGAAAAAAATCACTGATTCTTGAACTTTCTATCTAGAAATCGAACAATTATTCCCGGTGAACTAGCCGAATCCTGACAACAGCACCTTACGTGTCTGACATTACTGTCTGTTGACAAGATTGATTAAACTTCTAATTTGTCAGTAAAGTAATTCTATCTAAAGTAAATGTCACAAGAGATAGTATTCACGTCATAGTGGTGGCGGAAGTACGTTGGCTATGCTTTGTCAGTGTTGGAGGTTATTTGAAATTAATTTAGCATCGGATGACATTTACAAATGAACGCATTAAAGTTACCTCGCAGAAAAAGAAATCATTTTGTAGTTGATAACTGATAGTACTGATATATTGGTTTACAGTTGGTGTTAGTGCTATAAATGCTACGAATGGTAGGATAGCAATGATAAGCGCAGTGATAATCGCCAACTGATAAGCTCTCTCACGTCCTGTGTCCAAAGCATCCGGATCCATGTAATTGTTAAAAGTTTTCTGAGATTCGGCTTAAAATTCAAAAGACGCGATTTTAAAAAGGATTTTTTTAGAAATAATTTGGGTTACATAACTTACCCTACCTACCTTTCACGAAAGTTTTCTTTTTTGTGTATGAAATCTGTAATATCAAGTTTCAGAATAAACTTTATGATTCCGGAAAATCTTACTATCTTTAAAAAGAGTGCAACATGTTCTACAACTAATAATCAGATAATGTTATATAAAAATTTATTATGATAATATTTTTGCAGTGAAAAAAAAAAAAATTTATGTTCATATCCAAGAATTAATCGATCTTCATTTGTGTGCTACAAATTTCTGGAAAATTTCCCTTCCCATTACCATGAAATCACTTTCTGTCGCAAGCAAGAACGCAAAATGTGTTCGGGAAAGGAAGTGCGGGTATCTTAGTAAATAATATGATAAATTATCTTCCCGACAACCATCTACTGCTGGATTAGTTAGAGTGGAAGTTAATTTAAAAATGCAAAATAAGGGTTTAAGGTCGAGAATATAATGTAAGAATTATGATATATTCTTACATTGTATTCTCGAAATGGAAAAAGAAGAATTACTGGAATCTATCTTAGCGTTTGACTGTTGTAAATTTAATTTTTGACCTAGAAAATGCAATCGTTTTTCTGCAACAAATGTCCTACATTTAAGCCGGTCATCTCTATTCATGAGAACCTATTTAAAACATTCCGGTAAGAGAGATACTACCAATCCATCTTTTTTCTACCTCTACAATTTATGCATATTCAAGAAGTAATAAGAAATCCTACCTCATTAGTTATTTCTAGAATCTTTTCAGCAAAAAAGTAGAAGTTGTGAAGCGTGTAAACGGGTAAATTAAATTTAAGAAATAAATTTGCCTTCATTTCTTTCTTCTGTTGAATATTGTTATATTGAGAATACAACATATAGCATTCCGATCAGGAAACGAATATTTTAGGAATTTAAAGGTCTAGTAAGAGTGACTTTAATTGGAAATATGGATTCTTTAATGGAAAACAAATGAGACAACTGGTGACAACTCGCTAATTCATTTAACTGTTTTGTAAACTTCCCCTGAACCACTCCATTTTATGGATATCCTATTTTAATCATAAATATATCATATTCTGATCTATCCAATCAGAATCTTTGCCTCTCTATATCATTTTAGCTCCTTTCATTTTACATTTGTTTAAACCCCCCAATCAGCTTAATAACACAGGATGCACACTACCTCAGAATTTATACTTGACATTCAGTTCCGGTCTTTCCTATTTTTAAGGAAATAATGATAGGTGGGGAGTAGTAGGCTGATTTAATTGACAACACTTCTCTTGCAAGTTATAAACGAAGAAGCTTGCTTATTTATAAATATTCTTTTAATTGCAAAGAAAATACATCAAATGCTTCACACATGTCTTACCACAAATTACCTGCAACAAAGAACTTTGGAAGCAATAAGAGAAACAATTCCTCAAATATAGATTAATTTAAAGGCAATTTTGAAAAGGCAACTTAAAATTTCAAAAGCATAAACATAATCTATGAAAAACATGACAGTTTTCTAACTTACTGGCAGCAATACTCCACAACTCATTGCGAAAAGAAGAGATCGATTTAGAAAAATGAAATAAATTTGGAACTTTTGCAGAAGTGCCATCGAGTGGCAAACAGTAGAACATGCAAGTGATTATCTATTATAGATGCTATAAAATATATGGAATGGAACATAATATTCATACAAAAACCCATAGAAAAAGTTTTGTTTGAGAAAAACAGATTACAGAGAAAATGATAAGGAAAAGTTAATGTCAAAAAAAACAAAAAAACAAAGCATAATATACATCCTCAAAATTGTCATAAAATATCAGTAAGAACTAGTGGAGTCGAAGTAGTCTAACGAAAAGTCAAGTGACATGTAATGAGTATAGTCATTTGGATTTGTAATTTATTAGAAAAAAACTGTAGTGAAAATTCAGCATAAAACAGAAAGTTTTCATCATCAGTGAAAGGCAGTATGGCATTATTAATCAAACAAATTGAAAAAACCAAAATTTGATGGAAAGGGTGGAAAATGAATTCAAAATCAACATATAAAAAGGACCTTTAAAAAAGTGTCTACTTCAAATCGCTCTAAAAAGGTTTACTTTATAGAAGAATCGAATTATTTCCTCCAGAAATGGTTGTCCATTAGAGAGAGGGAGCAGTATGTCAAACTTTTCATATTATTTCAGCTTTGTTCAAACAATGCAAAAAGTGAAGATAGAGAATTCCGACAATGTACATAACTTGGTCGTGTAGTAAGTATTTTCTAAATTAGATCTCACGTCACATTAGTCTAAAACGTGAATGAAGTGGTATCACATATAGTCACAAACTGGAAAACCCCTTCCCGGACTACTAAGAACACTCAATTACTATACAAGGCCTAATAAAGTTGTGAATGTGCCATCAAATTTTCCTTTTTCTACGAATCACCCAATAGTCCCGATATTTCACAAATAACTTTTTCTCAAAATCAATTAACAAGAAAAAAATTTTTTAAACTAAAATTTAATGGTCACTGACATTCATGATCATTCACTGACAGTTTGGTGTTGCTTAATATAAAGCAACTTCAAAGTTTTCTATACTGTGCCATTCTTCAAATTTCGATTCTTCCAATTTAAAAATGCTTCAAAAAATTAATTCTGTACAAAACTGAAGAAAATATCAATGTATAACAAAATGAACAGTAAAGCTTTCATCAAGATCAAAGAGGAAAATAGTTTAACAATTTGAAAATATTTACAATAATGAACACCTGCAACAACCTTTTCCTAATTACAGCTACTTCTGTTCTGCTGTTAAGTTGCTAATGTTCATATGGTTTTATTTGTGTTTCTAAGATACGTAACTCATAACCAGCAGTCGTTGTAATGTTTCTAATTTGAATTCAAATTCTTCCATAACTCCAACTGAAAGGCAATGTGTATTGCATTATAAACAGCATATATTTTTTATATAGACAACAACGTTAGTGTACGGTATGCATAGCTTTATGTAGTCGAAAAAATCAAATTAACGATAAACATACCTTCCAAAAGAAGGAAAAAAGCAACAAGAATGAATTTCTTGTAACAAATTCTTGAGCAAACCTTTTCGCGTAATAATTCTGTGCAGCTCGCAATATTTTCATACTGTTGAATTAATGAGTGTCTGTAAACAGATACTTAAAGTGTCTTTTCATCAAAAACTGAAACTCAAAGATCATGTGACTAAATAGGAATGGCTGTTCGCTCAATTTGGTTTACATGATTTCCACATTTAGCGCGACTAATTGATAAGCTGTCCTTTTGAAAAGACAAAAAGCTAACTTTTCCAAACCTTAAGATGCTACAGAGTGCAACAAGGACGTACTGCTCAATCCTTAACTTCTTATCAGTCGATTGATAAGAAATTATTGACACTGCCCAAAACATCTTGATTGACATCAGATATAGTTACAACTAATTACCCATGCATTTATCTAATTCACTATATGGCTGCTCATACTTTTTCTTCAGCGTTTCAATCTCTTCTGCTAAATTGGGTGATGATTCATGATCGATTCCTGTAATTATTTCCTTTTTGGTCGTACTACATTCCATACTGCCAACGCCATTCTTATTGTCAGTGAGTTCTTTCTAGAAATTTTCAGAATGAAAGCAGGAAATTGGATGAATTATTTTTTTTTTTACATTTTTTTTTTCAATAAAAGATGAATTACATTTCAAATCAATAAAACAAGATAAATCAACCAGCAATGACACGCTGCTGGCTGCACTTTACTTGGAACTATTTATTTTCAAATGAAAAAGATCTATTAAAAAAATACCGACGGCAAACATTCTCGACAAATTATAGTATATCTCGTGAATAAGAAGGAGTTTTAGCGATCAAGAAAAAGCTATATAAAAGAAACTAACTGGGGATTTCACCCAGGGCAGATCTAACTAAGACCAATTTTATTAATTCCATCAATTCTTCATAATTATCGTTAAATTATATGCATTATCAATTATTACCGTTAGCTTCGAATAAGTTTCAGAATATATCAATGGTTCATTGGAATTTGGATACATCTGAAAAAAAAAAATATATATATATATATATATAGTATTAATCTATTATTATCAATTATTAAGGCAATGTATCCTTTACTGAGTGGTAACGAATCGGCATGCGAATAAGATTCTTTCAAGTGTGATGAATCTCGAGAGATGTGGACTTCGTGAAACTCCTCACTATGACGATCGAAGATACATTACAAATTGAATGATTAGTAAGGTATACATATAGTATACAACAGCGTACACACTGAAAGCGCATACATATGATAAATCTAAGCAAGGATGGAAACTGCTATACGAACTTTTCACATCATTACGGTTGCTGAAATTATTCTTTGATGAAGTACATGCGAGATGTATAGAAAGAAACGACTATATCTGAGTTTGACTGATTATTAGTCATATAATTAGAATATAACAATTTTGGAGATACTAAAGGTCTTCCGAACGAACTCTCAGAATGGCATAATAATAAAATATAAATGGACAACAACAGTTCGGTCGATAGGAGCAAATATCATTGGTTATTTTGAATGACAAGCTCTTAGTATTAGCTTAATAACAGTTTATTTTAAAAATGTAGTCATCTAATACTGAATGAAGGATAAAGTTTGAAAGAAGATGATCAAATGACATATTGCGCACATGAATTTAAATGCAAGAACTCGTGAAAACAATGCGAAAGTTGAAAGACGGGAGGAGGAAACTGAAATTCACGATATCAGTTAACAGTGGTATCAGTTAAGCAAAAAGGACAACAGTATACAATGTCTCATAATTTAACGTTATCTTCTATTATCAACCATTTCTTACGTTATCTAATCATGAAAACGAATGACGTATATGAAAGAACAAGAATGAAAGATAAACTTTAACATAAAGTGACACAAACTTAAAACAAATGGTGAGAACAGTGCAAGTTAAAAAGCATAATTTCATCCCAATTTTGGGATTTTCCTCATTCTGATTTACTTTACTTACATTCGTTAGTTCTTGTTTTAAAAATTCAGTCATTATTTCAAATTTTTAAACGTTAAGAACTACCGACATAATTAGGAAGCACTGAAATCATTCGTCAAGGACAGACCAACTGAATGTTTCAAGCATCAGAATTTTCAAAATTTCATCATTCAAACAGGTTTAAATAGATTACAAAATAAATCATACTAAATACATACTAGAAATAAAATCCTATTAAATATATTAAAATTAAAAAAAAAATTACCTTACGAAGTATGGCAAGTACTTTTCGGATTTCTTTTATGGAAGGCCTTTCCTCTGGTAATTTCTGCCAACAACTACAAACAAAAGTAACATGAACTGTTTTGGCCTTCGAATTCGACTTTAAGATTCTTAAATGCTTTATTAAATAGAATTTCAAACTTTGTAAAAAAAACATTTCTTCTCCCTTTACACTATTCTTGAAGAAATTAATAACTAGTGAAGGAAAGCAAGGCTTCATCTCGTGCCAGAAGAATGAAACCTCTACCGTTCAATCATTTGCATAAGTTTAGTTGGAATATCCTGAATATGCGGCGGCCTCAGACCTGCATAGACCTAAAAGTCTTTAATGAAAAAAAACTTCAAAGCGTAAAAATGAAAAAGCTTAATGAAAACAGAATTTTATCTTGAAGGTCTTTAAAAGTTCCAATAACCTAGATCATCTAATATAATCTCGTTCAGGTGTTGGAAATTTTCCACTTAATAGAATCAAAACCGTGAATTTAGATAAGAACGTACACTCCACAATATTTCCTCGGCACTTTTACAATTACTATATGGTCGCATGCGTGTAATTATTTCCCAGAGTACAATTCCAAAACTATAAATATCTGACTGCTTTGAAGGTGATGAACCAGCGATGATCTGCGAAAAAATTTGAGTCCTGATTTCAAATTCGTACATTTTTATATTTTTTGCCATTTTCCTATTCTTAGTCTAAATTACTGAATTGTTCCAAACCTTCAAGCAAATTTTCATTACAAAAATCAAATTTAAATGATCGAGGACTATAGAAACCACAGCATACCTCAGGGGCCATCCATGCTGCTGATCCTTGCCTATACTCTGTATCAGTGTTCATATACACCATCGTACCGAAATCAGCAACTTTGAGACAATGGCAGTTGTCATCAAGCAGCAAACTAAAGCAAGAGCTATCATATACAGCAGTATGCAGTGAGAAACTTGAAATTAAGCTTCGACATGATGATGCAAAATTTAGCCTACTGGAAAAAGGAAAACAGATCATACTTGGCAGTTTTCAAATCACCATGTGCAAATCCTTTCCGGTGTATGTAAGTTAATGCATCAATACATTGCGACGCCCAATCGAATGCATGATCTGCCTTATAGCTTATATTTTCTGACTTGTGTAACACTAAAAATAAACTTTGTTCTTACCCGCATTACCGGTGCTATAAGGTGGTATATTGCTGAAATTGTTTAAAAAAATTGTTAAAAAACTTTCCAAAACCAGTTCAACATATCAATCATTTAATCTATCTATCTATCTATCTATCTATCTATCTATCTATCTATCTATCTATCTATCTATCTATCTATCTATCTATCTATCTATCTATCTATCTATCTATCTATCTATCTATCTATCTATCTATCTATCTATCTATCTATCTATCTATCTATCTATCTATCTATCTATCTATCTATCTATCTATCTATCTATCTATCTATCTATCTATCTATCTATCTATCTATCTATCTATCTATCTATCTATCTATCTATCTATCTATCTATCTATCTATCTATCTATCTATCTATCTATCTATCTATCTATCTATCTATCTATCTATCTATCTATCTATCTATCTATCTATCTATCTATCTATCTATCTATCTATCTATCTATCTATCTATCTATCTATCTATCTATCTATCTATCTATCTATCTATCTATCTATCTATCTATCTATCTATCTATCTATCTATCTATCTATCTATCTATCTATCTATCTATCTATCTATCTATCTATCTATCTATCTATCTATCTATCTATCTATCTATCTATCTATCTATCTATCTATCTATCTATCTATCTATCTATCTATCTATCTATCTATCTATCTATCTATCTATCTATCTATCTATCTATCTATCTATCTATCTATCTATCTATCTATCTATCTATCTATCTATCTATCTATCTATCTATCTATCTATCTATCTATCTATCTATCTATCTATCTATCTATCTATCTATCTATCTATCTATCTATCTATCTATCTATCTATCTATCTATCTATCTATCTATCTATCTATCTATCTATCTATCTATCTATCTATCTATCTATCTATCTATCTATCTATCTATCTATCTATCTATCTATCTATCTATCTATCTATCTATCTATCTATCTATCTATCTATCTATCTATCTATCTATCTATCTATCTATCTATCTATCTATCTATCTATCTATCTATCTATCTATCTATCTATCTATCTATCTATCTATCTATCTATCTATCTATCTATCTATCTATCTATCTATCTATCTATCTATCTATCTATCTATCTATCTATCTATCTATCTATCTATCTATCTATCTATCTATCTATCTATCTATCTATCTATCTATCTATCTATCTATCTATCTATCTATCTATCTATCTATCTATCTATCTATCTATCTATCTATCTATCTATCTATCTATCTATCTATCTATCTATCTATCTATCTATCTATCTATCTATCTATCTATCTATCTATCTATCTATCTATCTATCTATCTATCTATCTATCTATCTATCTATCTATCTATCTATCTATCTATCTATCTATCTATCTATCTATCTATCTATCTATCTATCTATCTATCTATCTATCTATCTATCTATCTATCTATCTATCTATCTATCTATCTATCTATCTATCTATCTATCTATCTATCTATCTATCTATCTATCTATCTATCTATCTATCTATCTATCTATCTATCTATCTATCTATCTATCTATCTATCTATCTATCTATCTATCTATCTATCTATCTATCTATCTATCTATCTATCTATCTATCTATCTATCTATCTATCTATCTATCTATCTATCTATCTATCTATCTATCTATCTATCTATCTATCTATCTATCTATCTATCTATCTATCTATCTATCTATCTATCTATCTTCCAGCATATATTATGTCCTTTTCAATTACCATGATAAAACAGGTATGAAGAACTGTCAACTGCATCAAGTAGTATATACAACAAAATTAGTATGACAGTAATTACTGATTAACAAGGAATAACTTAATTGTGTTGTTGTGTTTAAATATTTTAACATATTTTGGAGTAAAAGATATTTATTTTGTATAATTAACAAAACGGATTGTGGTAAGAAGATAGCTACTAAGAAAACTACGCCATACATCTAAATAAATCAAAATTGTCGTTCAAAAAAAAAGGAAAAAAAACGGGAAATTATTCAAAGCTTACATTGATCGAGAGAACCACATGCCATATATTCCATTGCTATAGCATATACTGGATAAACGCATGCACCCATTATTTCAATGATGTTTGGATGGACTAAGTTGCGCATCACTTCCACCTTAAATGATTGCAAAAATTTCATTTGAAAATTTTAATGAGAAAGCAATAAATTTTGTGAAATTTTATACTTCATAAACAGAAACGTTTCTGTAAATTTAACATATTGTATCTTCTCCTCACTATAATATTGTTAACAAGATTTCTGTCGAATAATACTGAAAATAAAAAGAAATTACAAAACCTCGTGATAAAAGATTCCTCGGAGAACTTCATCAGTTGAATTGATAATCTTTAACGCTACTGTTACTTCCTTGCATTGTGCTTTCCATACATCGCTATAACTCCCTCTGAAAGCAGTATAAAAATACTTGCAATGAATTATATTAAATAGCGTAAGTGGTTTCTTTAATTTCACATTTGTTTCCTATATATGATTTCATACATCTTCCAGAGAAGATCGAAAAATAGTTTTAACGTTTCTATAAATTTAACAACAGTTGAATTTAACAGAATAATTTCACATCAAACTTCATAAATCTATCTGTTGCCATACTCGGTATGATCTCATGTTTTAATAGCAGACCATTTTAGATAAACTAATTGGTCCTGGCAAAAATCTCCTTATTCCTTATAGTACCATGCAATACAATAAATTATAATAGGAATCAGAGTCATACTTTTTTTACAAATTCATTATTTGCGTCTTTGTTTCAAGAAATGGTATGAAAAGAAAGTAGAAATAACAGCATTGTGCAAACAAACATACCTGCCTAATAAACGATGTAATTTGAAACTGCAAAAGTCAACATTCAAAAATGGATCATCGTTGTAACCATCGACAAGTGTCAAGGATGATAAAGACTCATTACGAACACTCCTTGAGCGCTTTTCTTCTTCCTCATCATCAATCTTTAACGGTGGCAATAAATCCATCTAAAAACAAAATTTGATCGGCTTGAACAAACTTATGACCCAAATCAAAACTGTAAACACTCAGAGAAATAAACAGTGATTTCCAGAAAAAAAAAGTACAAAATTTTTAGGAACGAATAGATCTCAACACTAGACATCGAGAAAATAGTCATAAAATCCAATAAAAGTATCAGTTATCCTTTCGCAACTGAAAAATCATTTGTACTACAATGATCAAAACAAGTAGCATCATTTATAATATCTCAGTAATTCCCAGAATGAAGTGCAGCACAGAATTCATCAAATGCAAACAACTGTTATTTGAACTAATCTAAGATATGATCTATGTCAAAAAGTGTCAATAAATCCGAAAAAGATTTCACACCAAATGCTTTTTTAACACTAAACAAAACAGTAAATGCATTCCTTCACAAAACATCGAACGCATCGTATCGATAGCGAATTTCATACGCTTCTACATGAATGCCAAGCGAAATATTACAAATTAAAAGAGCTTTTGATCTAAAAGAATGAAATCTTTATGCCATTTCCAAATTCCAGAAAAAAAAAAGTAATACGATGTATACATAGAGACCGGAAAATCCAGAAACCTAATTTGACCGAGAAGGACCAGCCCGTAATTCAATCTTACCGAACCAAACAATGTCACACAGAACACTGACTTTGTGCATTCTCAATAATTCAATTTGTTTTCATTAATCATAAATAAAATGTGATTCAATTCAATCCAAAACAATTTCATTCATTATATAATTCAGATAAGTTCAACCTAATCAAAAAACAAATTTTAGGATAACAAACCTTCCCGTTTAAATTGTAAAAATGTGTTATAAAGCAAATTGATGAAACAGCAGTTAAATATAAGCACCGAGGGTACTATCAACATATGCAAAGTCTGAGCATTCAACGTGTAAACAAAAACATTTACAAAATCCAACAGACTGGAAAAAATTACAGACAAACTAGAAATCAGGAAAAATGAATAATAATGAATCGCTTGATAACATTTGCGAGATAAATTGTAAGGGTTAACTTAAAAGTAAAATTTTTTATTTTTATTCAATTTAATTAAATCTAACAAACCAATTTCAGTTGAATAAAACTGAATTTAATTAATAAGTTTAACCTGTTACTATTTCCACTGAATTCAATTTCATTCCAACTAGAAAAATAACATGTATCAAATAAATCAGGAAGTGCCGGTAAATAAATAGCTCTAAACGAATCCAAACCTCATGACCATGGATGTCAGAAATAAACAACATACACGCTGTTTAGAAATAAAAAGCTGGAAAAACCTCTCAATTTTGAAATGGAAAAAGGATTTCATATTAACAGCATAAATCAAAAGTATATGAAGACAATTTAAAATAACATGGAAATCCAAAAATGTTTTAATAAACCTCTTAAATGAAAAAAAAAAAATCTTCGAGGATTTTTTTTTTTAACTAAAAAAACAGCTATCGGAAATCTTTTTCCGGAGAACGACATTTGTCAATCGCATTTAGTAACAATCCAGAATTCTTTAATTGCTGCAGTTCCGTAAATCCACCGATGAAATCACCACAAATAAATATCTGAGGTACCGAAGTTTGCTTTGTGATACTAATTAATCCATTAATATATGACTGATGATTTGCTGGGAAACAACGCTGAAAAATATAGCTGCACAATAAGTTTTTATATGAAAAAAAAAAGTCAAAATTAAATTTACAAATTTTTAGTTAAAATTTAATTATGTCTACAAAGTATTTCACTCAAAGATAGTAGTACACAACTGTCCTGCCTAATCAACAGTAAATTACTCATGTCAGCAATTGTTACAGATACTTGGTCCTTGGATTTCATCCGAAAACTGATATATTATTTGAACTACTCGCCATACCATTCTGCATATCGTCCATTATCCTCATTACATTACATTTGATAACAATCACAAAAGTGCACTAACTCATGACTAATTACTTGCAAACACTTTACTTGCAAAAGAACTGTTTTAGCACTTATTCACTTAATGCTTTTTGCCATTTGAAAGTCATAATCATTACACAAAAACTAAATTTAACTGAGACTTTATATGATGCTCTTAATTTTGCTAATTACTATTCCTTTCATTCTTGGTACAATCAATAGACCAATGAAAATTAACCTGATGAACATCCAAGTTGTTTTCCTTATACTCGATCCGTTCTGCATCTAGCAGTTGTTTAGCTCTCACACAGTATGGACACCTCGGCATTGTAAACATAACCACCGGGAAATGTTTCACTTCCCTCAGAATACTTTCTTCATCCACTGACGCAGTTGTAGACAGAAACTGGCCCATCGTTGACTTCAGTAAAGCTAAAATCTTCAAGACCCATTAATAAGTCTTCTCGAGAACTATTCCCACTGTAACAACAATCACACTTCACTATAAATAAACAACGAAAAGTCTCTGTATGAACTACAAAGACACTGGATCGAAAATAGACATAATGACAAACCTGACTTTTTGACCACACGACAATACTTGAAAAGTGCTTCAAACAAAGAACACAGGAGGACCACTGATCCAATCTGGCTAATATTTCAGCAAATGATCACTTCAAGAAAGTGATCACTAACGATTCTTTATGCATCCACCACTAACTGCTGAGAATTGTTAATAGATGAGTTCTTCGGGAAATATCCTATGAAGTCTTATCGTATCACTTCATTTTTATAAGGAAATAAATCAATGGCTTACAGTTTTTCAAGACACTTCTGATCACGCGAAAAAAAAGAGCACTTTAAGTTTCAAGTTCTAATTCCTTAATGTAAACTATTCAGATTCGCATTCTATGAGCTGTTGGTACGATCTAGATATTCGCAGTATGGTAACTTCTAAACAGCAATCGAACAATGCTAAAGGGAAAGAAATTTTATCCATATTAAATTCAGTAAATGACATACCTAAATCGACTAGAAGCAATTACTTGCTCATAAAGAAAGCTACAAAAGTATGATGTTTACGACAGCGATAAGATTGGTGGATTAAATATAAAAAGCTCTTGTTCAAGATTCAATAAGATTCATATTTCACAATTTTTTTCCTAGAGAAAGTTAGCAAAATATGCATCACCAGTATTCGAAATTTCATGCATTTTGAACCATTCTGAAAAGGAAACACCATATTGAATGCAACGTCAAAACCATATTGAGCAATTCCTCTTCTGAATTTCTTTTCAGCAAAATATTTTATTTGAACTTGTGAATAAGTCTAAACTGTAACATTTCAAAGACAAACTGAATGCAAAGAAAAGACAAAAGAGACTACTACTAGGATACCTGAAATATAAAATCCCATAATCATGCAAGTCTTGAAATACTCGATTATAGAATAAAACACGTTCTGATAATTCATTACATTAAAACTCCTCAAGAAAGAATTCGGCCTTAAAAAGAAGTCAATAACCTCAAACACAGAAAGCACGTCATGTTCATGAGCTACCTAGGAAAGTGATCAAAAAAAAAAAATGGTTTCTTCATGGGAAATTCATGTCCGATGAGAAAACCGGAACACAAACTCCCTAAACAAAAATGTGTAAGTTACACTCTTTAAGATATGAAATGAACAAAAGTCTAAATTAAGTAACTTTTTAATGTAAAGATCCATCCAGTACTTTGAAATCATCCAGCTTTAAAGCAAATGGCTGCCTCAATTAACTCTGGAAAATATAAATATGTTTCAGAGACACTTCTGATTCTCTCAACAATCTGAAATTAGCAAAATTTATTTTTATCACAACCTGGAAAAGAGCAGTGACAGCATCTCAATAATATCTGAATCCATCAACATAACATCAGTGTTGTCAACATAACAAAACAACAATCTTGTATATGGCTTACATAGAAAATACCTTCCACAATAATACTATACCGTTTAATAAATTTTACTCATTAAAATGTGCTTACTTTGTTGCAAGACTAATGAAAGGATCAGGCCCACAAATTAATATTCGATAACCGGTTTTTTTCACATCTCCATCAATATATTTTGAAAGTATTTGCTTCGAAATAATGCCTAAAAATAACTTACAGATAATTAAATTCTGTTCAGTTTCTTCAAGACTCCAATTTAATCCAATTTTTTAGTACTTTAGAAATTCTCTATAAAGTAGATGTTAGTTTCTCAAATGCAATAAAACCTTTTTCTCCATCCCATTCCTCGTCAGCTTCACTTAAACAATGTTTTATCTCTAGCAAAGGATGACTCAGTGGCATTTCACACTTCGTAAAATAGTCGTCTGATACAATATCCATCTCCTTTCTGTTGAAGAGAATTATAGTTGCCCTAAAAAATGACATCTTTAGAATGAACAGAAACCAAAATAATTAAATCAATTAGTCAAAGAAAGATTTTTTGAGAAAACTTCACAAATATTTTATATATAAATAATAAGGAGACTTAAAAACATCCGAAAAAGATGTCAGCCTAATTTCTTTAAATGAAACAGAGCAAGTCATACTTTTTATTACTTTTCAAACGTTTAACCATAAATCGAATCATGGGTGTTAAACCCGTTCCAGCTGCGAGCATTAACACGATACCAGGGCAATCGGGCAACACATTAAAACATCCTAACGCATCGCTAATTTCGATCAAATCCCCTTAAAAACAAATGAATCCCGAAAGTTAACTGCAACGAATTACTTGATGGATAATAAATTCCCTTTGAAAAGCTTTATTTATAGTATAACAGGCACAACAACTACAGGCAGAAACGATTCATTAAAAAGTCTGAATTTAAATTGCTCGCACTGAAATATTCGAATACACAAAAAGTCAAACGAGATTTATAACTAACCACATTTTTTGCTGCGCAATTTTGAAGTGAAAACACCGTTTTTATAAAATTTTATCATAAATGAGATGAACTGCCCATCTTCCGACACAAGAACCGGAGTATACGGACGTTCGATCAAACTTCCTACAATAGAAACACATTACATCATTAAATCAACTTCAAATTCTTTTAAAATACAAATCCATACAATACCTATTCTAATTTAATTAAATCTTAAGTATCCACTTATTTTAAGCTTGTTTCAATTTTTGCATAGAATTCCTGAAGTCACCTAGATATGATATTTATTCCAAGTTTTCTCATATAAACTTCGTTCAGTCTTTAAACTCAATGTAAAACCTAATATGAAAAGGATTAAATTTATGACGTTAGCAGTTGCTGAATAAGATTTCACCATTAACACAGATCCGCAGCAGAACGTGATGCCCGATAGGTATCATTAAACGACAGTGAGAAGCCATTTGCAAAACAACTGAAGCAGTATCGTGTGTTATATCATACATTTCAAATATCACACAGCTTCGATATTTCAATACTAAAATTTGAGGATTTATAAAATGATATAATGCAGCATCTGCTTCAACCCGAAATAAATGGCAATGTTGTATTTCTAATACAAGAATTATATATATAGCAAGCAATGCTTATGGAGAATTATTTAAATTTTAAAAAGTATTAGTAAAAAAGACAAAACATCCTTTCGCCTTACGAAAAGAAAAAGACGATACCTGGTTCATAATGATACGATCCCGAAGTCCACTGACGACTGATATTCTCATCAATCATTTTATATGACAAAAATATTGTTTTGTCGTTAATACCAACACGAAAAGGTTCAGTAAAAAAAGCTGTTGATATGTTTGCTGCAATTAAAACAAAGGCATTTGACAGAAAACAATAAGACGAGGGAATTTCTGCACTTCCATGTATAGAACACTCATCAGCAAAATGTGCTTTTACTTTTCAAAACATTTCTAGGAAGAAATATATGTGCTACACAATGTTTAACATGAACTGCAAATAAAAATCGAAAATAAAGATAAAAAAATAAATAAATAAAAAAGATAAAAAGACGTTCACGGACATGCCAATACTAAATGTGTGATTATGTGGACCAGTTCTCAAACTTACAATTCAGAATTGCGATAGATCGTACATTTGGAGTAGCAACCATAAAACTACACTCAACAAAATAAAATGATAAATTTACAAATAGCTTCAGCCCTTCCATTGTTAAAGGTGGATAAAATATCCAACTACTGCTCTGACCTTCGCCGATCAAAAGACTCATATACTATCAACAAAGCCGCAAAAGTAAATAAAAAAGATAAAGGGTTAATATAAGAAAAATTATTTCAGAAGTACCTAGTATAACTTCATATGTCAAATGATGTTTGATGGATAGTAAAACATGAAGAATTACTTACAGCAAAAAGAAAAAGAAAAAAAAAACAAAGAGTGAAAGATGAGCAGCGAAGGTAAGAAGTAAAGAGCAGGAATATAGAGAGCAAAGAAGCAGAACAATGATACAGAACTTACTCCATTGTAATGCCTCTGTTTTACCGGAAGAAAAATGCAATAAGAGTCTCAGCACATTCTCCGTAAATTCCAAGGATACATTTTCATCTTTCAGCTGATCCCATTTCGGACAACTTACTGATAACTGACCGTCAGAATTAACTTCTGCTCTGGAAATAATACTTTAAGAAAAATAGAAAATTACGAAGTTAGAGCAAAACTAGGACATTTTTTTTATACAGCATGCTATAAATGTTATAAGAGAATAGAAAAAAAAAGAAAACTGCAGAAAGATTGAACTACATTTCCGAAAGAAATACTGCTAATTGCTAGCAAATAGTAGGTAATAATGAAGACATATTTGTTTACATATAGCACATCAATTACCTGTAGTATGTAGAATATAAAACATGATTTAGATTTTTTTTAACGTATTTACATATAACAAAGAACCAAACTATTTTACTGATTCGTGAAAAACGAACGTTAGTGACCTTTGCAAAAATACCATACCTTACCCTAGCTGTTTCAAAATTGACGATGTCTGAATTTGTTTCTTCAGTAAAATTCGTTGTTTTCGGCTCGGGTACTAAAAATTAATTTTCAAATTTCTTATTTAAATCAAATCTTAAGCAATTTATATCCTTCAGATTGCTGTAAAACTGGCAATATATTTGTATGAATTTTCAGAAAGCCACAAAATCCCTTGTTCTCATCATAAAAAATTTTAAAGATGTAAAAAAAAGGAATCATAATGAAATACATTTATATCTATCGCCATTAAAAGTACCAACAAAGCAAGTTTTCAACATTGTATCATAATTAACCCAAGCATGCATCTTGTTGAAAAGATCTGTACCATCCGTACCAGCAACACGCATTAGCTCCTCAACACCACCTGGATGAAATGCCAAATAATCTGTCACATCGTACACCTGATATCAACACCACCATCAAAGTTAAAACTTTAGAATGGGTAAATTTCTAGCTCAATAACAATGCTTTCCAACTGCACAAATTTCAAACCCAAAAATGAAATTTCAGGTCAAACAGCAAATCCATTCTAACGACCTAAAAAGATTTCCTACTTTGACACTTACCTTTTCACCGAGTAAAATCCAGCAGTCGCCAACACTTGCATGTTTACTGAGCTCAACATGATCGACATCTCGTTTTATCTTTGCCGCGATACTTCTGGATGATGTCAACTTGATCCAATCCATTAAGCTTCGACCACTTGTAAGAGCAACTTTCGAACGTCTAGTCTCAGAAACTTTACCCTAAACAAATAAGACTGGAAAAGAAAATAATTGAAAACCACTTAAATTTTCAACTTTCATATTTATCAGTGCTATTCTAAATTAAACATAAAGAGGCTGTGAAACTAAGCCACAGAAAGAAAAAAAAAAACGAATTGAAAAGCTAAGAACGAATTCGTAAGTCACTAGGAAATATCTAAAACTAAAAAACAATATATATTTCCACCTGAGAAGTTTGTGGAACAGATAACATTACTGATTCGTTCTTTTCGTTGATAACGTTTACTGTGTTTACTGCATTTCGTGAATAAATTACAGTATCGAATAATTTCTTCTGTAAAATAACTTTCTACGTACTATAAAATAGCAAATTCTTCGAGATAATTAACTTATTCTATGAGATGATATTAAGATTCAAATCTTCCATAACGATGCATGCAGTGCATGCCATTTCTCTATTTCTTATCTATTTGTTTAGCTAGAAGCCATCTCACATGCTTTCTCGTAACAAAATTCCCTAAATTAGCTATATTAGACTCAACCGATTCCCATGCATTCTCACCTGATATCCATAGTTACTATTATTGTTTACAAGCGCACCTCTTTGTTGTATGTGATTTTCCGTTCAGTGAAACAACTGCTCTTAGTCTTTCAAAATTTCACAAGAGAGTAATATCGACTTCTTCACATTACCACCTAAAGTCTCACTTACCCAAGATATGCATGCGAAGCAACACTGCATCACGTATCCGAACTACGCATTTCTGTCATCAGCGGCACGGCAATGAGACGGACGGAAGGACGGTCCTGCAGGCCGCCTTCTGCATTCGCATTACGCCGCTTAATTCTTCCTCCAACAACCTGTCGTTCTCGCGACCTCCTCAAGTGTTTCTCGTCTGCTCCTCCTTCGTTGCACTCTTTTCTTCTCAACTTCTGTCACTGTCACCGATTAATAAGTATTTTTGCACCCACCAGTTCTCTCTGTCGAGCACACGAAGTGTCCCCACTCTCACCTTGTACACTGTCGTCTATTCCGCTCCCAGTTAGTTAGTGTTCTCTGTCGCAAACGCAGACATTTAGGTGGAAGACCGAGAGTTCGCAGTAGTTGGCACTGGGGCAGAGTTTGTTGGGTTCTTCCGCAGCAATTTAGCCGTTACTGTGGACAGCGGAGACTGCACATCAATGAATGGTTGGTGATTGGTAGTATGGTTATGAGGTAGGGATATCAGAAGAGCTGTGGAGAGGAGTGACAGGTGACTGATAAGTTCTGAGCACTCGCGGAAGCGGCGTTTGCGTTTCCGTTGTTCGTGGTGTGATTAGGTCAGGAAAGTTATCAGTGGCCTGAAGTCTGTTAGTGTTAAGCTCCTTCGATATAAGTTCTTTCCGGATTTCAGATGAACTTACATTGTTCGTTTGGTCGTGACAGAAAGCTCTGATAGCTGGGCATGCTACGACATATGTATATTACGGCTGCTTCTCGATTGTTAGAGACAAAGTTTAAATCTCAAATTGGATTTCAGTCTTTTTTCTTCTTTAACTTCTGAGGGTTTATCCCTTCTATCTTATGGGTCGTACAAAGGGTTCCGAAGCAGGCAATTTGTCGGTGACAAAGCGTGGCATGAAAAATGGCAAAGATCGTGGAGTTGCTGTAATTGCAAAAAGTGGCTTTGATGGACCGTTGAATGCTCCATGGCGTAAAACGGTATCTATCTTCAAGCAACCTGTTACGTTGGTGCATACGACAAGTCGTGAAACGAAGAATCCAACTAATGAACAGTTACGACGTGTTTGTGCATCCAGTAACCTGAAAAATAAGGTTGATAAGCCACGACAGGTTAGTGTGAGCTGGTTAATATCGATGGTAAATATGATGTTAACCTCGGTTTCTCTGATTTTGTCTTGTTTGGTTGATTGTTGTTTACTTCCAGTAACTTGATTACCATTTGTTAATCTTTATGTTCCGTGAAATCTTATTCGGTTGATAGTTGAAGCCAACCAGTTTTTATTCATTACATGAGTAGTGGGCTTTATGACATATTTCATACAGAAATATCTTTTTTTAGTTGTATTGGGCTAAATCTCTGGAAAATCTGTGTGCAATGGTACCAGTTTGTAATGCCGACCGTATAACGATTGATGACAATGAGCATATTTCTCATAAATTGGATTTAGCGGGTAAAATGGAGCCGGCTTTAGGAATTATTGGTACTGATGGCTCGGCAGCATCGTTATGCTCTGCGCTGCATGGATTTGGCGCATCAGTTATTACTGGACAAACTGCTACTAAAAAGCAACTCGAATCAAGTCCATCAGTCAGTACAAATGTTGATCAGCCATTTATTCAAGTAGGTTCTTTTGTTCGTTAAGAATCAAAAAATCGAAGGTTTGATGTAGCTTGTGCTCTATGAATGGAAATGATGAGCACTTTATCAGTTCTAGGTAAGTTTTAATTTCTTTTTCATGATAGAAACGGAAAATGGTAATTTAAATTCAGATATTTATTTGACCATTGTAAGTAGTATTTTAGTTCTCGAACAGTTGGTTTTCAAATATGTTTGGACTTTTATTTCCATTCCCGTATTTAAGTTTTAACTACCTACAGTAAGGCAGTATTGGCGGGTCATATCAAAGGTAAATTGAAATGCGGTAGCTTCAGAATGATTACGTGTATTAATGTATGCAGAATTATCGTGAAATGGTATTGTTAGAACTATTTTTAGGAGATTCTTAGCTACCTAAAAATTAGTTGTGTAGTGGGGAAAGCCTGTAAGTGAACTGTATTAAATGTTTTGAATTCAAGAAAAAGAACAAGTGGTATGAACAAGTGGTAAAAAGTGGTAAGAACAAGTGGTAAAAAGAACAAGCAAATCTGGTATTAAACATTTTGATGTATGGTTTTAAACGAATAGTTAGAATATGTTTTAAAAGCGAACGCTGAATAAGTTTCACAATCGAAGATGGCACATTTTAAAGGAGCAACTTCGTTTTTATTTAGGCCATGTCAGTCAGTGAACAAGACATCCAGCAGCAAGAGCGACGTGTCTTGGATATGCGTAAAAGATTGCAGGAAGCCCGTAAGCATTTTCACATGTAATATTTTATTTGCTTTCAATTTAAGCAGACGTGTTTCTGAAAAATTCCGTTGAATGTTTAATTTTTTTAGCATTTTGAATTGCTGTTGTCTCTTTTTTTTTTTTTTTTTCATTAGCCAAAAGTTATGTTCGAAATTACCAGGACCATACTTTGATGCATTTTATTTAAATTGAAAGTTTCATCTGGCTTATTACCTGAAATAGATTACTTGTCCAAAGTCAAATTGTAAATGCTAATATCTATGTTTTTATATTAACAACAAAATATTCGGCAGAGTAATTCCCATTTTCAGTTCTAAGCTGTATAAATGATAGTGAAGTAACATGACATCCATAACTTTATTTCGAATATCATTCTTCTTTTCTTTGAATGTTCGGATTTCCGTAAAGTTGTTGCTGTTGTTAATGTTTAGGTTTTTTTTTCCGTAAGTTGAGAATTATTTCTTTTTTTATTAACATATATCCAAGTACTTTCTTTTTAAACCATTTCTTAATAAATACTGTCTTATGATCCAGTAAACCAGAGATTTCTTGGTTGAAGTAGCTGTTGTAATGGCTATTTCTCTTTCGTCAATTCATAAGCCTAAAGTTATTTAAACTGCGGGCAGATGGGATGGAATTATTTACTGGAATTCAAATCTTTTGATCAAAATTAATTCTCAAATATATATTTTGATTACTGGATTGTAACAGTTATTTTTTTTAATATTAGGCTGTACATGATGCACAGGTCAGTTTTTCTACCATTAAAATTTATAACAGTGTAAGCAAAACTGTGAACTGCTTGAATTTTCATAGATTAGAAAACCATCACATTATTTTTTGGTGGTACATTGTTTTTTTCTTTTTTTTTGTAAGATTTGCACGAAAAGTTTTTCATGCCTTCCATTATATTTGATTACATTTTGATTATTGCTGGAATTAATTTTATTATATTTGATTACATTTTGATTATTGCTGGAATTAATTTTATTAACACTTGTTTGGAGAACTTTCGGTTTGTATTCTTTATCCTGTAAGTTTTGATCGGTAATTTGATCGAACTAAATAGGTAAACATGAACCTCATAAAAACTAACCTCATAAAAAAAAAAGAAAAAAATCGGTATACGTGGTCATATTTTCAGTGAGTTCAGATTGAATGATCCATTCATCATCATCATCATGCAAAGAATTAAGCGAATAATAGTTCATACGGACTTTTCGCCGAATAGATGGACCTATTCTTTTCCAAGTATTTTTGAAAAGTGATTAGTTCAGTCAAGAAATAGTATGACTGACTATTGTGCTGTACGTTTTTTTCCATGAAATGGCTTAATGATGTGTCAGTATTGATTCGATTGGTCATGCAGTTTTTGTGTCCAGTGACTAACTAAGCAGTGTTATGCAAATTGTTAATCAAAATGGAAGTTCAAGATTGCACATTCAGTAATTTTATAGCGAAGCATCAGTGAATACATATATGTAATCTCGACCAGAACCAGAATAGTTCCTATAAAATTTTTCGTAATTGTATTTTTTCTCAGAGCTCGACCCCAGTGAGTGATTGTGTAGCCTATTAAATGCTTACTGTGATTATTGTTATTATTATAGTTAACAGCACCTCAGAATGGATGAAGTTGAAATGTAATTGCTGTGAACGTTTATTATTATTATTATTATTATTATTTTTATGAAATGCAATTTTTAATTTTTAACCGTTCATTGTGTTTTGTCTTAAGTTTTTTCATCTTGAATTTTGTTTTGACTACTTATCTTCAATGTTATTTAATGAAAAAGGAAATGAAAGAATAACTCATGAAGGAATGTTTTCTCGTATACCAAATTCAGACATAATTTGACTTAAATTTTTTTTTTTTTTAAGTGAAGTAGATTGGGCGTCAAGTGTTTCTTTTAAGCTAAAGAACCTACAAGAACTGAAGGAGTCACTTTCTGATCAAGGACAATACAATGTAAAAATCCTGACATTTGTGTCACTTTCTGATCCTAGAAAAAGGTTTTGAATTTTAGAAAAAGACGATTTAGCAACTATCAAATTCTAGAGGTAGCAGCTGCTGCTCCTTCTTTTCCAAGCCATCTCTATAGTTATATGTAGAGACCGATGATTTATTCATTTCTTAGTTTAAAAGGACGTAAAAAGGAAATTTCTCCAACAAAGTATTCCGGAAATCATTCTGCTTAGTGCAGTTTTGCTATAACATATATTCCAGAAATTTACCATATAAATAACTGAAAGTATGAGTTGTGGTATAAATTACTCTTTGTTAATACACAAATATAGTTTGATCCATTAGTCTTTAGCAATTATTTCATTCACTCTTTATCACCCAATGTAGTCATTTAGCTTAGAATGGTACAAAATGTCATGCTCTTTTTAGCATAAAAGAATTTAATTACATCTTACGATAAATAATTCCTGGTTGAGTTCTGAGAATCTTCATAGAAATGCTTCATGTGTCACTTAATTAGATGTGATATTCAACATAATCATTAGTACTAAATACAGTCTTATTATACTGAAACGTTTGCGCAAATTATGTTAGAGCGGAAGTAGACACAAATGTCTAAAACAATTATCGAAATGCTACTGAAATTTGATGGTCTCTATTTTTTTTCTAAAGTGAAAAAACCTATACTGTGTGAAGATGTTGCCACTTCTTCATTCTGAGTTTTAGCCATCGAGGGTAGTGCAAGTGTCAGGTAGGACATTATGAAAGGTTCACTTAGAAAATGCATCCCTCTGCTTAAAATTAGCTTTGTGAAACATTTCAAAATACTTTCTCCCTTCCTACTCTCCTCGTGAAGACTGTGCCCAATGTTTTCGGTAGTGAAAACATTTCAATTTATGATATCCGATGCAAGTAGAAATCTCCTTGTTAAAAGATAAGTGATTAGTCAGTTGTATAAAGAGTTAATAAGTAATTTCAGCAGGGACCTAAAGTAGTGCTAACAATATGCTTGTAGCTATCGGAACACCTGGCTACCCTTCTGGCTTCCCATCATGTCATTGTAAGCAGTTGACTCCAGCGATTGCCAAATTTTTTAGTGGTAGCTCGAGTTCCTCGAGACTTAAGCATACTCAGTCGTTCTAGCTTGAATTCATAAAACTGTCAATGTCCAATTATCAAAGACCGATCATTGATTCAGTGCTGTTCCACATAACCTTTTAAATTCTGAATTTCAGCCATTCTAACAAAGTCGCTCCCAGGACAAGGAAAAAACTGCGCGACCGTATTTTATCTGTACCTTTACTTTTTTTTCTCTATCATATGGTACTTTCCAACAAAACGAATATAAACCCACATGAACTATAAGTGCAAATGAGCCGTCAACCCACAAATTACTATGCAAAATACGACTTTGTACAAAAATTTTAGTTCTGAATAAAAGAACAACTGGACATTTGTGAAAAGATACTAAAACAACGAAATACAAACCGGAAGGTGAACTGATCTATTATTTTCAGTTTTCGTGGTATTAAGTGTTAGAAATAAGGATACGTTAAGAAAGTAAACAGGGAAAAAAAAGAAAATTGGAAATATTACAAATGTTAAAATTTTAGCACAAATTCCCAAACACTAAAGCACAATAAACCAACAAAAGAGACAATAAAATCCAATTTGTTTCTCCTTTGTAGATTTTTGAAGAACAGATCAAGTTTTTGGGAGCAGGACGTAAAATTGAAACTTCTGCGATTGATCAGTAAACTTCAACTCGGACAGAATGCAAAAGTACGACACTGCGGGAGTAATTATAATATTGAATTGTAGTCGTCATCGTGATCATATATCAAATATTGAGGTACTCATTGTAATCGATAAATAAAGTCAGTATTAATAAAATTGAAATAGACGGATTTAACAAAAAATATAAGAGTAGAATAAATGAACGTAAAGTTTAAGATCATTTTTGAATAACAATGCAAGGAATATAATTTGAAAAGAATGGCATTTACAACAGCAAACAAATAAACAGATAATGAGATTGCATTTCTGATGGCACAATGTAGCAATTTTCTATTTTCCCGTAATTTAATTTATTGATCTTCTATTGGGAAGAAAATGAATGTCAAGTCCTATAAATATCCGAAACACTCCAGAAATCTGCTCGGGAAGAACCTATTCTTTAAATACTAAAATTTTCTTTTTTTTCCACGGATTTTCGCATAATGAAAAGTGTTACGTGGCCATTTGTAGGGAACAGTATAATTCTACGCTTCTCGTTTTGTACCTTCATTTTCATCATCATTATCCTCTTCGTGTTTCCGTTTCACACCTCGTAGACTTCCCGCTTCATCCGTTTCTTCCTCATCTCCTGGAGCGAAGTCTTCTGTTTCATCTTCATCCTAAAAATAAATTTCAGTATAATAAACCTTTCTATTCCTTCCCCAGTTTATTGGACTTGAAATCTTTAGTGCTCTTGATCAAAAAATATCATAATCATCCCATTTAACCTAAATGAGCATATGTGTGGGACATATCAATTCTCAACATGAAAACAAAAAACATTTTTTTTACACTCTACCATAAACAGAAGTTCTCTTGATACGTGTGCAGAAAATAAAACATTTAGTAGACACCTGCATCACAGTAGAACTCTGCAGATAATCCAAACCAACATCAGAGTCTTCTTCGTCGTCATTGCCTTCATCATCGTTATCGGTATCGTCTAGTCCATCACCAACACCATCATCATCATCCTCGTCATCGCCGCCTTCCTGCAGGATTTCACTGTCCGATTCTGCTTCCTCATCATTGATATCATATCCATCGAGATATTTCAGGTTAGGTAATATCTATAAGAACAAAATTTGCTCGCTTAAAACAAATTTCGATAATCCCTTAATGTTTTACTTCCTTTCTGTTTCTTCTAGAATTATTCCCTGTTACTCTAACCAATTACATATTCTGCTAGAAATTCTTGAGTGCAGACGCTTTTCTCAAATAAAAATCAAGAATGATGAAAAGTTACTCTGCAATTTAACAAGGACGCGCTTCATCACT